AATGTAACGCCAAAAAAACTTATGCAGTATCAAAGCCTGCTTCTACAGATCGAATTCAATCCTTTCATATCCCGTAAAAAACAAATATGTTTGTGCAGAGCTAATTTTTTAAAGAACAGAAGCTCACCCCCGCCCCTCTCCAATTTAGCAACCAACGATTTTCTTTTCCGCGAAAAACAAGCTAGGGCCAGTTTAGATCCCTAGCTGGATTTCAACCTGTGGAATTGTAGCAGAGTTGGTCAATTCAGCGGGCAAATGTGGAATTACAGGCACTCTTTTTGAATCAAAGCGCAGGAACGATGCCAGTTGCAGTAAAAAAAGATTTACTGAGATAGGTGCTTCATGCCATAGCAGAAATATCATGTGCTCAAAAAAGCAGTCTCCAAATACAGTTAATAGCCAAACGCTGCCAGGGCTGTTCGATCCAAAAATCCTTAGTTCTGTGGGAAAAGATTTTAACTAAACAGCCCTTTCTTTTTGAACTTGTTGGCTTTGCGCATTTGGTTTAATAGTAATCCAGAAGTAACATAAAGCGAAATGCTCGGACGACTGAAAACACCTGGTGTGAGCGACAAATTAGGTCGAATGCATGACGCTTTAAAAAATGCTCCACAACATCAGCGCCAAATGTACGTGCCGTACCACGATCTTCGCCCCAACCGTTCCTGTTTCTTCGGTTTGGCTCAGACCAGAGTATATCGCGCAGAAGTCCTGCAGTGAAATAGGCAAAATACGTAAAAAATCCATCTTTTTTTATCATCACATACTTTTTTACAGTTTGATTATATGGGTTTGTAAGTCTACTCTGGTACCTACAACAAGAACAATAATTGGCCAACGCATGGGCTGTCCGTGCGAAGATGCGTTTTTTGCATAGCTCCCCGCAGACTGTCGCTAATGGCACTTGTTTTTCTGGCAGATCCTTCCTAGCTAAAAGAATTTCAGACTGGCCGCCAGGACTGTCAGGAAACATCCCTTCAAAATCCCGGTCTTCTAGTTTCTCAGTTTCCCGAGTTAGCAACTTACCCGGAAGAAACTTTCAAGGGCCCCTTACGTAGGTACCACGCTTACTCAGGGGATGGGTTTGAGTGCATTAATGCCTAGTTGGACGAGGAACATTGCCCTAAGATTTCGGCGTTCTGGCTTCTCAGATCCTCGAGTTATGAACTTACCCGAAAAAAACTTCGGCGAGCCCGTGTGTGGGTACCACGATTACCTGGGGGATGAGTTTCAGTGCTTTAACGCCTAGTTGGACGTGAAACATCCCCTAAGATTTCAGCGTTCTAGCTTCTCACATCTCCGAGTTATGAACTTACCCCACAAAAACTTTGGCTGGCCCGTACGCTGGTACCACGCGGGTGTTGACGCCTATTTTGGAGATTGGGGCCGGCACGTGCAAGTAGATTAAGTTTCCGAAATTTCAGCCCCGCAGCTTTTATAGGTCTTGAGATGAAACTGCGTGACAGACGCACACACA